TATATAATAGACTATTACAGACATACGACACCTTTCAGGGGGAAACCTACGTAGCAACAACGACCTGACGAAGGGGCTCAATGTAGCGTGGAGCATTAGGTAGAAGATCATTCATCTGTATGTCCTTGAAAAGGCACTGTTCAATAAGAGAACCGGGAATGAAGACTTTAATTGGAATGAAGAAACATAGCATGAGGTAAGGATGGGCACAAAGATCTACCCACGTTGATGCGCTAATATCATATGCAGACAAGCTAAATCAAATAGACTCGGAGAGACGGTGAAGACAATCGTTGGTAATTGAGGGGAAAGAAGGGGTAATTGACAGGCTCAGGTGCTTAGAGCGGGGATGCGAAAGATAAGGAAGGAGAAATGGAAATCAGTAAATCTCATAGCGCATTTCAATATCGGTTAATGATGCAGATCGTAAAAGACGATAAAAAAGAAAAGAGACAAGATGATGATGAGATGCAAAGAGAAAAAAAGCAATTGAAGACCTCTCACAACATGACTTGAACTGAACGACACACTCATTGGAATGGATTCATTCTAACCCATGCCTCACGTGTCAAGTTCTTCATCAAAGCACTCAACCCCTCCCCCTTTTCACGAGACTCCTCCCTCTGCTTCTGAATCTTAGCCAGTAAATCAGCTCTGCGCTTCTGCAATTTCAGCGCAGCACGGGCCATATGCTTGCGAGAAAAATTCAACCTATTGAACCTCTCATGAAGAAAGCCAGCCTTCTCAATGGCTTGATCGAGAACAAGAGACGACGCGTTGCGCCAGAATGAAGACTCTTCTTGCGCCACTTGTCCGAAATCATGAGCCATATCCTTCGCTGACTCCCACCAATTGGCATTCACCTCAGCAATGCGTTCTTGAAATGAACGAAATGCCTGTTGGAGCTGTTCTGCGTGTGATTTGAAGTCTATAGGTTCTTGTCGATTGAACTTTAATGGAACTGTCTCTTTGCCCCAATGGTGCTTGATGTCGAGCGAGATCGATTCGTCTTGAATTTCATCGGGGGAGAACCTCAGAAGTGCATATGTCCCACTGAACAAGGAAGCCATCTCATATTGTACCTTCTTGCCATCCACGAGCGCCTCCATCTTGTAAGTGAGCACGCCGTTACCCAGGGTTTCAGGCATAGGCACCACAGGAACCTTAACAACGGCATGACAAGGGGTCGCGACATGAGCTGTGAAATATGTATCCGGGGATTCCTCATCCTCCTCCTGAAGTTCCATCTCCGCTTGAATCTTCAAGATAGCGCGCATGTCAAGAGAAGGCTTATCTGCAAAGCATGCCCTCATTGCCGCTTTCTGACTCACAAGCAGGTCCTTTGGAGGCTGAAGAGGCATCACCGGATCTCGGTTCTCGATATACTGCGAGGTTCGAAGTATTTGTGTACCTTTAATCGGAAAGAACCAGAAGATCACAAAGACTATGAGCAATGCAAGAAGGGCAACGACCAGACAGTAAAGGATTCGATATATCAACAACAGGCCCTTTCCCAACTCGGACGGTGTCATTGAAGAGAGCAACTTCGGATCGAAGTAATCATGGCAGTCGCGCGGGGGTTCATTTTCGCCAAACAGTCTGGAAAGGTGTTCGGC